CACGTCAGAAAATTCTGGGCAAAAATACATCGATTTTCTTTTTCGATGTTCTATCTCTGCTATAAATTTGAGCTCAATCGGACATGTACTCCGCATTTGGCAACAAGGTGAAAAAAGAGGGGGGGGGGGTACCCTTAAACTTAGTCACTTACTCACTATAGACATGTAGACGTAGATATGTATGGGAAAAGGTATTAATTCTCATCAATTTATTAACAATAAGCGCACCATGAATCGACTGATAAATTGCGATTAATTGAAAATTTTCTCTTAATCTATAGAACTAGATAACTAACGTTAAAAATTTTGTATTTTTTTAGTTCTGATGTACAATTTCAAGATAGCTTATTAAACGTTTTAAGAGATTCTTTAACAAATGCAAATTCACAAGTTCGATTATGTACATTACAACTGTTTCATGTAGGAATAGTAATATGTTAGAGTTATTTTTCACTACTGATTTTTTCTTTTAAAAGGCAGCACTCCAACACAACGATCGTTCAACATTGTCAAGTAAAATATTACCAGCTTTGATTACATTAGCATCGGATGATGATGTGTAAGTTTGTAAACGATTTGTGTCGTACAACGCTCAGCAAGACTATATCTCTTCTTTTTTTTTCTTCAGAACCGTACGTATCGCAACAATAGCTGTCTTCGGTTCCATTATCGTTCATTGTTCGGAATTAGACGTAAGTAATAAGACGATTATTTGACTATTTTTACATTATATAGATATTTTTCTTTAGATACTTGAACGTGTCTATTCACAATTTCAAATGTTCGATAGGTAATATTAAAAGATCTCGATTAATATTAAATTGAAAATGAATCGATTTTATTTTGTAGTGATCCAAAATTTCGAGACGAATATCATACACATGTTGAAATGATAAAAACCTTCACTCATATAGCGCCGCATGTTGAATCAAAATTTCAAGAAGATTTTATTTTACCATACTTGGCGGCTACAGCATCTCAAAATAATCAACAACAACGTGAAACAAAGCGTTTAGAAACAGCCATTTATTTATTTGAAGCTTACAGTGCTCTATCATGTTGTTTTCATAGTGTCGAATCCCTACAAAATTCATTTTTACCAGGTTTATATTGTTTACGTTCTGATTTTGCTCAATTACGACCGGATCATGTCGCCGTAATTGATTCAATTACTAAAGATTTAGAAAATAAACTTGAATTAAATCGACCGGATGGGTTAGTCATCATGTCTAAGTCTATAGATACCTGTTATATTATACTTGTTTTCCCTTTTAAGATCAACACTAATTGGTAATTTTTCAAGTACATTTAATCAAGAAAATCTTCGTGGTCGTATGTTAAACCAGTTTTCAAATTTACGCGATTCAACTGCTCGTATAACACGATTTATGAAGAAAAAATAATGACAATAAATATGTGATATTGATCTTCGTTCATGACACCCACCCACATACTGTGAAAATGACAAATTCATCTGACTGATGAAAATGTTTAGCGACTGGTTCTTTTTATGATGCATTTTTTTTTCTTCACGATCAAATATAACTAATCTTTAATTCCTTTTATTTCTTCTATTTATTCATTAGTTCTTCTTTTATGTTGATCTGTAAAAACAAATATACATAATACTCATACATGTTGTGTACTGTTGCGCTATTTATTATTATTATTTTTTTGTCGAGCTTTTTTTAAATTATGTTTTAGAAAATAAATTTTTTTGAAAAATATTTTCTCAACAAAATTGTTCGTTCATTTTTATTGTTTCTATGTTTTTCTTTTTGCTTCTGAGACATGTAAAATTTCACGTACAAAGACAACTGAAAAAGTCTGGTTTATATTTATAGTAAAAGGAAATCTCTAATTCTGTTGTTGTAGCAGTGAACAATAGTATGAATTTAATAGAATCTAGATTAAAAAAAAGATGTTGTATAGTGAAGGCAGAGTGTGAAGGCAGAGTGTACTGCAGAGTGTGAAGGCAGAGTGTACTGCAGAGTGTGAAGGCAGAGTGTACAGATGAAGAGCTAGCAGTTTAGAAACTATGCTCGTACAACAAGTGAACTTATAAAGTAAGTCCATTTATTCAATCATTCCTTTTTTAGCTTAAAAATAATCGTCATTACATCAACCATTTAATATATTTGTTTTTGAACGAGCGTTTTTTCATTCTATTTATTAACATCTGCAATATTCATCCGTATCTAAAGAAATATCTGTTAATGTTTATCGAATAAAAATTCAAAAAAATTGGTACACAAATTTATTCGGCGAATTCAAAGAGGCCATTTTTCGTTTGCAAGTCAAGTTTATTACGTTGATGTCAAAATTAGACGATGGTGACCGTATGATGCCTACAATTCCTTATTAAAGTATAAAAAGCCTAATTTTCAACTGCATAATAATTATCTGTTATATAAAACGCTTATTTGAGTAAAATATAATTCACATTCGTCCAAAAATCGTAATATTTCAATGACACATTGGTCTGACTTTCCATTATCAATCAGGTATGATGTTTGTATTAAAACACAAGTTCGATATGATAAAGATTAAAAATGATAATGAACTTAATGCTTATACGACATTGAAATTTCTCACGTAGCAATTTGCTTTTATACAGTGCATTTTAACTGTTGGTAACAAATGAACCATAAGTATTTGAATGCCTTCACTTGACTTCGATGTGTGAGCTTTTATCGGGTGAAAGTACTTTAGAAATAGATGAGTAAATCTATTGAAATCTTTTGAAAAACAACGAAAATTTGATTTTTTTCACTCAAATACAAAGCTATTGAACTATTCACATTTGGATAAAATGCATACGCTATTTTCAAGATAAAAAAGAACAGAATCCAAAAGTTTCGTTTATCAACGAATTAGAAGAATTTCATGAAATAATGTAAAAATGATAATTTTTCATGCAAAATCGTAACTTTGAAAATTGTTCTTTGTAGACAAATGTTTTATCGATTATATGTCAAAATGTGACTAACATGATAAAATTAGAGTTTCATTAAAAATCGATTGGTACGAAGGAAAACTAAGTATAGTACAATATACCTCAATATTTATGATCATATATAAATCAACGTTATCGAGTCAAAGTTTTTATTAAGAGTAAGTATTCTTTATACTTCATGTATCTCCTATCTTGTACAAATAAAAAATAACATATACGTTAGCTTAATCATATCTTCTGTATGACTTTTTTGTCTCAACAACGTCATTAATCGAAACAGTAGAAAATTTGTTGTTTGTTAAAATTAAAGACATTGAGTCTATAAAATGAAACTAAAATTAATTCAAAAAATTGTAACCATCTCTAACTTTTTATATCGTTCATTTTCTAGAGATTTTAAAAAATTCTCAATTCTGGTCACTCTTTTTCGAGCATGCATTGTGTCTTCATCATCTTGCAAATAAAATTTGTTCAAAATATCAGAACATTTTTGTTTCACATTTGTTAAAACATTTGATTTCATTTCATATTGAATCAATATCCAATACAAGTGCCATAAATTAAATGCTGGCCAATAAACATCAGCAAATAACCATAATGAAAAACGACATTGCACGAGAAGAAAATCACTTAATCGAATTTCACCAGATGTTCGAAGAAATATATCTGGTAATGTTGTTGAGGATAATGATAGACATCGAACAATTAAATTATCGTCAATATCATTTATTTCTAATAAATTTTTTTCTACACCACTAGCTAAATCTTTAATAACGTTTGTTATCTCATCTCTTGATGTATAATAAAAACAAACATTCAATATAAAACGTTGATAATGTTTTGTTTGTGACATTAATTTTTTAATTAATATTTGTAAATCATCTTGTATTAAATCAATTTCACCAATAACACGTATACATATTTGCTGTTCATGAATTTTATCAATTGATTTTTCTATTTCTAATAGTTTATTACGAGCTATAGACATTAATGTATCAATTTCATCTTGTGAACGTTTCAAATTTTCTAGACTAAATGCATAAACAGTTAATTCACTAATACCCAAATCATGACACCATTGGCAAACTTCAAATAATTTATCAGCTCCTAATAAATGACCTTTGGAACGTGCAACACCTTTATCGCGTGCATAACGACGATTACCATCCATAACAATGGCTATATGACGTGGTATAGTACCACCATAACGAATCATATTACACACAAAACGTTGAAACCACGTATATTGCGGCGTAGATTTAGACAGCATGTTTATTACACAATTTACATGCAAACTATAAAAAAATGTTGATTAAGTTCACTAATAGATGTCGAAACCGGTATACAAGAAGATCTACAATAAATAAAATGTTTTGTATACACTTAAAAACAAAACAGTTTTACTATGAACCTCAAATACTCACATAAATTTCCAGTCTTTTTCGTCTGCTGATAATCAGAGTTTTTCTTGCGAAGGAAAATGAACGAGATTTTTCTTTGTTATTAAAAAGGTGTTCCGAAAACAAAATACATACACAGACAAATAGGAGTAAACGAAATCTTATTCGAAAAAATATATTGTCTCTACTCTGTTGTCTTTATCGTGTAATGCTAACAACAAACATCAAATAAACATAGCGTAAATAAAAAAAAAATACAAATATAAAAAAAAACGATGATCAATATTAATTAATTCTAATCAGGAAATTCTATGTGGAGGCATTGATGGTGGTCCATAAAGTACCTGAGCACGTTTCAGAAATGCATTCACCATTTGCCGTACCACTTGATCAAAAAACATAGTCGCCATTTTAGCATGTAAAACAGAGTGAAATTCGAAAGAGACCTGGAATAACAACAAAACTATTTTTAGACTTTTTCATCGATGATAGTCAACTTGTTACAAGTGTGCACCAAATTCTTTCTACTAATCATTTGTGAATACTTACAAAAAAATCTAGTGTACACGATTTTGGATTTGTTTCTATACCTGGCAAAAATTTCCATTCGGTCGTCAAATGATTAAATAATTTACCCTCGGTACAAACAGACTAAAAATAAAGAATGAAAATAAAGTAGAATGTCATTTGAATTTAACCGTTTATATAATGTTTACTTTGACTACAGTGGGTTTGTGATATGTGACTAATGCATTATAACTTTCTTTCACCGGTGGAAAACCGATTTCCATTCTTGCTTTAAACATGCCAGGATATTCTAATCCCAATACGTCTGATTTTACACACCATGGTACAAATTCACGATATTTCTTCACATCAACGACAACATCATACAACTCAGTAGGCGTATATCTGAAAAAAAGATGACAAATAAATGTGGGAATATTTTCTCAAAGTCTGTATTTACCCCAAAAGTCTTTTTTCTGCATATTTTTGTGTTTTTTGTGCAAATGGAAACGGAAATGGTGGTTTGGGACCTAAGCCAAACAGTGTACGTTCTTTGTTACTACGGAAAATTGACACAAATCGATTTCTCCGTAATAATCGACAATTACAAAACATATAAAAATAAAAACTAAATGCAAGTCAAAAACAGACAGATATTGTACATTTGAGTTAAAATGTTAATGAATTTGATGATTGAATTTAACATTTGATGAAAATGTTAAAAGCAGAGTGCCCAAATTTTCCGATTTGACCAGAAGGCTCCTGATTTTTAGACTTTTCTCCTGATGAAAATTCTCCTGATGTCAGGTGCTGATTTTTAAGATTTTCTCCGGATTTCTCCTGACTTTCAATTGTTTTCCTGCACAGATTTTGTTTTTTTCAAAACAGATTATCAGTTTCAGAAACAGAATTTCTGGATCAAGAGTCTACATAATTGTACATTGAAAGAATCCGCTGTGTGCTTATCAAATGTTTTCATCACAAGAAGATGAGACTAGTAAACTTCCAAATTCATCGGACCAAAAACTTCTTCCTCAATCCGTACCGCAGTCTGTAGCAAATGATAATACTGTTCCATCAAAAAATATTTCAAAAAACACTATGTTTTTGAAAAAGTGATTGGATTTTTTTATTTTGCTTGTCGAAGAAATCTCCTGACCAACTCCTGATTTTTAACGAAAAGCTCCTGATTTCCGTGGATTTGGGCACTCTAGTTAAAAGTAAAGTTATGTAAATTTCGTCACAAAAACAGCTACTATTCGTGCTTTAAAAAACTACTTTATATTAGTTTTTACTTGTAGGTTTATATCTCATATGAATTATTCTATAAGAAATTAGTTTGCGGCGACAAGATTTGGAAGACAATTTGAAATGCCGTTTAATCCCGAGAAATTTTTGTATTTAAGCGATAAAAGGGACCTTTTCTATCGATTTTCGTCGTATGTGAAAATAGAATTCCGATGTTTACAAAATTGGTCTATATAGAACTCGCTCGCTATTTTAAACAATTATTCCGATCAGAAAACGATGTCACTTTTGAGTTAAAAACTCTTTGATACGCGATGAATTTGTGTTGAAATAATTTTTCATTTTGCTCGAGCATGATGTTAGATCACATGTGTTCAACGATCTACAATATTACAGCCATAAATTTTGTTTTTAAATTTGGACTTTACGGTGGGTGATGGACCTTGAATTTTGAGCAGAAAAACAAAGTCTTGATCAGGAGTTTTTCAGAAAATAAAAGATGTATCTATAAAGATGATGTATTTACTCTCCAATAAAAGAATGAATAAAAGAAGCAATGCACAGTAAGAGATTTTAAACGAACAAAAGTTACACGGAAGAAGCACAATGTGAGAAAACGTTTGTATAGCTGAAAACAACAAAAATATCTCATTCGCCATGTAAAAACTTGATTCGATTCAAACTGAAACCGGTCGCTCCTAAACGATTTTAAGTAGTACAAAATGACTGCATTGTTATCAACAACAACAACATACATCTGCCGCTTTTCATATTTTAATTCGAGCTCAATTCAGACCAATCAGAGGCTATTTTCTGTCCTCTATATTGAACGAAGTTGTTAGTCTGAAAAACACACTGTGTTTTCAATCAGTCTAGACAAAGCACTGTAAAAAAGAGCTTATTTTGAATGGCGTATAACTCATTGAGTATATATGCCAGTATTTAATCTGTATTGACTCAGCCAATGTAAGAATGTCTGATAATTTTTCTTCCAACACCTTTCAAGCTGAAGATACATTGACAGTCGGTTGTTGGGATGAAAAACTATCAGACACTTACATAGATCTTGGATCTACATTATATATCCGAAATGTGTTGTTGAGATGAGAATAATGTGTACATACAAGGGCGAAACAGCAGATTTTGTGACTTTTGTAATCTGGGCTCCGTTCCACAGGGAATCAATTTTTTTCAAATTTTGTTGTACTCCTGGAGACTTCTTGGTATTCTTCGTGACTTCGCTGAGCCCGAAGAATTTTTCTGACTGTTTTTGAGTTTTCCAACGTTTTTTCCGCTTAGCCCCATTTTCAGTCATTTTTACAGATTTTCGGGATTTCATTGGATTCTAATCCCTTTTTTCGATTTTTTCTTATACTCCCAGGGTTCCTCCAGTTTCTCGAACTTTCGGAAGTTTGTATAGGATTCTCCAGGCTTCTGTAGGTCTGGAAGTCCACTGCTACTTGGAATTCTGCTGTTTCCCCCTTGTATACATATCTGATGACTTTTAAAGGATTTCTTCATTAACCCTTTAACTCCGGATGTCCACAAGCATGGACATTAGTAAACATCATAGGATCGCTATAACAAGATGATGATCAAAAAACGAATTTTTTTCTAACGTAAGCTGACACCATAATCTAGCGATTGCTAATGGGAAAGTTTTTTTTGTCAAGCCTAAATCAAGATATATGAGTTTCAAATTCGCTTTGGATAATCGGCTGCGGGGTAAAGGGTTAAAGGATCCCTGCCTCAGGAATAACTTTTTTGTTACATATCACCGGAAAAAAAATAAAGATGGTTTTGAGTTGCTGAAAAGTGCATTTTCGTATTCAGCACACTCGATAACCCAAAGGATTTTCTATTTTTGGCGAGGGGTACTTCCAAAAGTTTAGGAAAAATTTTCAAACAGAATGACGCAAAATAATTTTCATGAGAAAATAATATTAGTTTGAAAATTTTTCCTAAACTTTTGGAAGTACCCCTCGC